TGTCCCCAGGCTGTGGAGCGCTCCCTTCCCGAGCCCGCAGGCAGGCTCCCCATCCAAGCACGTAAGGAACCAGAGGTATCTTGCACCCGAGGCAGATCTCAGCTCAGCCCTGGAAACGGGACTGGGAGGCTGGGCTGGCTGAAAGGTGAGGAGGCGGCAGCCCGTGTTTTCATGATGCGTGTTTTCTGCTTGCCCTGCAGCATTTATTATGTCCTTGGCTGTCAGATAGACTTTTCCTGAGCCAGGTTACTTTCCTTCACCTGGGAGGATAACATTTCTCTCCACTGTATCTTGGGCGTGTGTTCATTCCTTCCATAGACAGGAAAATGTAACTGTCTGGTTTATTCCACGGAAGGGGCATTATTTTTAGTGTCAGAATCTAAACTACAGTCTGCAGCCAAGGCTGAGCCCTCTGATTGGACGGTATTTCTGAGCAGGCTGCTCGATCTAAACTCTAACCTTCTCCAAAAGCAAGCCTCCTCCATTACCCCAACCTTGGGCTTTAATCTCAGAATATTTTTTATAAACTCCTTCTTTCAGAAATGACAACTAGAGAAAGAGAAAAAAATCATTTCAACCTGAGAAAGCTGATTGTATAAAATCATCAGTTTTCCTGGCGGGTTTGTATTCCTGTTTCCTGTCCACTCATTTATGTGTAGGATTACATAATCTGCGGGGCTTTATCCTAGCAAAAGTCCCTTACTAGGGTATTGTAAGCTATTGTAGCACATTCTTAGCATGGATTTGCTTTTCTTGAATTCAGCCACATTCTCACCTCCAAAGCCCCTTTTGTTTCTCAGGAAAGGTCTGTGAAGCTATAGACCCGCCCCCCGCCCCCCGCCCCCATCACCTTCCTTTCCTCCTGCTTCCTATATTGTTGACATGGTGAAAATGATCATCCCCTTCTTTAGCACTGATGTCGGGAAAGTCAGTTCTGATGTAGGAAGCCCTGCAATCCCTCTCTTCCCCCATGAAATTATGTAATTTGAGAGTAATGTCCTTGAAAGATCGCGGAACAGTGATGTTTCCCCGGGGGGGGGGGGGGGTTAATGGTCTTCTAGAATAACTTAAACATAGGAAAACAGGGAAAAGATCAAACTGCTATGTTAGCTGCAGAGATTATTCTTAGTTTTCAGGTCGCCAAAGAAGTCTTCTCCATCATAAGTAATCTAGGACAAGCTAGGTTTGGAGAAAAGCCTTTCTTTCCCTGCTAGGCTTGCCAGCCCATCAATGACAAGGCAGTGTGAGGTCCTCCACAGAGTATGCCCTCCAGTGGTGCTTGGGAATGATGGTGGGTGTAACCTGAAGTCAGCAGTAGATGAGTCGCCTGACACTGTGGCTCATGAGTGGATTTGCAGAGAAATGGCTCTCATCAATTCTCTTCTAAATTGTGAAATAGCAGAAAGATCATTATGGTCAGACAGAAACATATTCTACTTAATAAAGTGATTTACCAGTGTCACCTCAAATCTTCCTGAGTTTTCCCTGTAAAATAGGGCAAATAACTACCTTGTAGGTTTGCTGTGAGGCTTAGTAATGTATATGAGTGCCTGGTTCTTGTAGTTAGTCTTCAGGTTGTCCCCAAGGGTCCATTGTGGGAACATCTATAAGAATGCTCACCTTTTTTGAAGCAATAAAATAAGTATAAACTGGAGGTAATTTATGTAATTGAAACCTGGAGCACTGCTACTAAATTGCGTGGTGTCAACCTCATTACTCAACTAATTTTAGTTTGAGTTGATTGGCTCAATTGCAAAGGCAAGTGAAGCTTTTTAGAGATTAGGCTCAGTCTACTTTCCAACGCGGCACCACCTGCCTACCGTCGAGAATCGTGAATGTTAGGTTTATTCTGTTGTCGTTGGCAAATGCTTCGCCCTTTCCTACTCTTTATCTCCTTTGTCTTGTGCAGTGAGTCAGATTGTTGAGATTATGTTCATTGCACTTTTCTTCCTTGGGGTTCCCCATATTCCCTAAGAAGAAGCAACTTAGGATCTCTCAGACTCATCTCAAACACGGATGCTATGCTAGAATCACCTAAGGACTGTAAAACAAAACAAAACTTGATATTCGGGCTACACTACATACCAAACCTACTCAAAATCTCTGGGAGATTAGTGTTCCTAGCAGTGTTTAAGTTCCCCAGATGATCTTCATTGCAGCAAAACTTGAGAACCACTGCTCTATAAGATAAAACGTATTGCTGTTGTAGACAACGAACTTTCCTTAATCTGCAGGTTATATTGCATACATGTTGCTGGAAATGAGCCCTTTACATTAGCATGGATTAGTTTATCAGATTAGTTGATACTTTGGCCCTAAGGGGATAAAATACTAGCTAGGCAAATTTCAGCGTTACAGCAAAGCCACCTAAGACTTGAGCAGTGGAAAAGCACAAACAAAAGTAGGTCTTGGAAAGGCGAGGAGTGATTTAGATGAAGACCAGGCAGCAGGAGACTAGAGGAACAAAAGAACAGTCTGGGGAAGTCCTGAAGGCTGATTTCCAAATGCTATGCAAACAGATTTTTTTAAAAAGGTAATCTCAGTGCAGGTTAAAATACTGAGAAGTGTACATTGCTGGAGAAAATGCATGTTAGAACCATGGTTTTTGGAGAACAGTTTAGCAATATCTATCAGAAGCCTTAAAAGCGTGCTTATTTTTTGACCCGTGATCCCTCTAGATAGAATTTATTGTAAGTAATGATAGCTATAAAGCCATAAAGATGGCAACATTTTACAGGATTAAAAAACTTGTTCGTCAGCACCATAAGACAAAGAAAAAAACCAAACTTGTTGAACTTGTCTAAAAGCACTGCCATTTATAATAAATGCGAAGGAACATTCAGCAACCTTTTTCTTTTTCTTCTTTTTTGTAGCGCCATTTAAAAGAATTAAAATTTAAGAACAGTCAAAGATTAAATAATGGTAAATTCATATTTGAAAATACTAGGCAGTTAAAAAATTTAGGTTGTAAAATGTTTAATGACTTGCAAAAGATTTATACTGTGTGTTAAGCAGGAAACAGCTACAGCTACAAAATAGCGTATACACTATATATCAAAACGTGTATCTGTGTTTGTGTAGAAAAAGCAGAAAGATATAATTTAAAACATGATGATTTTTTTTTCTGGGCCATAAGATTTTATCTTCAGTTTTTGTATTGGTATGTTCTAGATTTTCCACAATGAACATGAAGTAATAAATTACTTTAAAACTTTTTTTCTTGGCCTGGTGCGGTGGCTCACACCTGTAGTCTCAGCTCTTTGGGAGGCTTAGGCGGGTGGATCACGAGGTCAGGAGATCGAGACCATCCTGGCTTACATGGTGAAACCCCCATCTTAAAACACACACACACACACACACACACACACACACACACACACACATTTTTTTATCCAGGCATGGTAGCTCATGCCTGTAATCCCAGCACCTTGAGGGGCTGTTGTGGCAAACCCCCATTAATCTCAGTAGTGAAGGCACCAGGTTGAAGAGGCTGAAGAAGATTCCTACAGCCTGCAAACAAGACATGGGTTTTGTTGTTGTTGTTGTTATTGAGATAGAGTCTTACTCTGTCACCCAGGATGGAGTACAGTGGTGTTTTATCTGCTCACTGCAACCTCCTCTGCCTCCTGGGTTCAAGTAATTCTCTGCCTCAGCCTCCTGAGTAGCTGGGATGACTACCCACCACCACCTGGCTAATTTATTTTGTATTTTTAGTAGAGATGGGGTTTCACCATCTTGGCCAGGCTGGTCTTGAACTCCTGACCTCGTGATCTACCTGCCTCGGCCTCCCGAAGTGCCGGGATTATAGGCATGAGCCACCGCGCCCGGCCTGGATCATTTTCTAACTCACTACTGCTGATACTGCGAATCTTTTTAGTGGTATGATATAAAAGAAGTGCTGAAATTCATACCTACGCTGGGTGTTCCCGTTTCTTACGCATGACAGTGCTTTTGGACATAGTTGATCAAGGATTTTCATCTTGTCAAATGTCCCTAAATTTGTTGAGACTTAATGTCACCTCACTTGAATTCTCAGTGCATGATGTGCTTTTGGGCTGTGTGGGTGTGGTTTAAATGACAGCTCAGCTGGAAACTGCAGAACTCCAACGTGCTAACCTCTTTCATAACAGTTTTAAACTGGAATGTTTACTAATGTCGGGTAAATTTAACTTGAAAATGTTAGTAAATAATTACTGTGCAGAAATTGTGATGACATGTATTTCTTCATGTACATTGATAACTTCACTAACCACAGTTTTTAGCTGATTTGCTAGAATTTTTCTTTAAACATGTGACAGCAGAAAGCTTTTAAGAATAGTGTCAAGGGCTTTATTGAATCAGTATGAGTTCTGACGGGTGAACAACCTGAGTTGGTCTCTGCAGGTAGACCCTATGAAACATTAAGTTCCAGTTGATTCAGCTACCAGATATGTAAGATAATCCCCAGTCAATACTTTCCTTTTTATTTTTTCTAGTGCTTCTACAAATACAGCCCTGAACATAGAAATACCCTCATTATTTTAACGGGACATCCTATTTCTACTATGCAGTTTGAGCTTGACCTGAGAAATATCTATGAAGTGTGAAAGTACAGTTAATCATTCTTAAATGCTCTTTTTATGCACAATTGCTTCTTTTAAAATAGCATATATATATATATATTTTTTTTCTTTTTTTTTTTTTTTTTGAGTTGGAGTCTCACTCTGCCACCCAGGCTAGAGTGCAATGGTGCCATCTTGGCTCACTGCAACCTCTGCCTCCTGAGTTCAAGCAATGCTCCTGCCTCAGCCTCCCGAATAGTTGGGATTACAGGCACCTGGCAATCATGCCTGGCTAATTTTTTTGTATTTTTGTAGAGACGGGGTTTCACTATGTTGACCAGGCTGGTCTTGAACTCCTGACCTCAGGTGATCTGCCCGACTCAGCCTCCCAAAGTGCTGGGATTACAAGGCATCAGCCACTGTTCCCAGCTATATTTACTTTAAACAAACAAACAAACAAAAAAAAAAACATGTAACACCACAAATATGTGTCATTCTTCTGGAGGGCCCATGCTAGTCCTCTGTGAATTGTTCCAATTTTAGTATATGTGCTGCTGAAGTGAACACCATATATCTCCCTTTGCTGCCAAATGTACTTATGTGGGAACTGTCTACCACTTACCCTTCATTTTATGTTTATATAGAATGAGGAAATGTAATTCGACTTATTTTCATTTTTTGCTTTTATTTTTATTTTTTTTTAAGAAACAAGGTTTTGCTCTGTCACCCAGACAGGGATGCAGTGGTGTGATCATAGCTGGAAACTTGAACTTCTGGGCTCAAGGGATCCTTCTGCCTCAGCCTCCTGAGTAGCTGGGACTACAGGCACATACCACCATGCCCAGCTATTTTTCTTTTATTTTTTTCTTTCTTTCTTTTTTTTTTAGGAGAAATGAAGTCTTACTGTGTTGCCCAGGCTGGTCTCAAACTCCTGGGCTCAGGTGATCCCTTCGCTTTGGCTTCCCTGAGTGCTGGGATCACAGGCATGAGCCACTGTGCCTACCTATAATTGAATTTTCAAATGAAAAACCTGACTATATTCGCTGCCTAATCTAAGGTGTGTCATGTTATGAAATTTTAACAAGCTATCTTTCAGTGTGTAATAAAATTAAAACCCTGGAAGTCGTCACCTATTAAATAAATATTAAGTGAACACCAAGGCAGGGAGCTGGTCTGGCTAAACAGAAATGTGTAAGGCAGATACCTAATCTTGAGAAGCTTACAGTCAAGTGTGAGGGATGATAAATCAACTGCCAGTGAGAAAGTGGGAGCTTGAATGATGGAAGAATTATGATAGAGGCATTTGTGAGTTGCAGCGAGAGCCCTGGAAAGAACATCTAAAGCAGACCTGGGCATTGGGGAAATGTCTCTAATCTGAGATATCAAGTTTGAGTGCTTACAGTAACAATAGCATCTATTGAGCATGTAGGGAGCATTTACTCTGTGGCAGATACTGTGCTATGTGCTTTGCATGAAGTTTAGCCCATGGTAATACAATCAGGCAGGTGTTCTTTATGTGACAAAGGAGGAGACTGAAATGCAAAGAAAAGTGACTTGCTTAAGATGACACAGTTTATACGAGGTGGAGCCTGAATTCAATTCCAGCCAGTGTTACTCCTGAACTCAAGAGTTTAACCACTGTGCTAGATTTCCTTATAACAGAAACCAGAGAAGAGAATGATGAAAGGGGCCTTCCGGCCAGAAGCAGCAGTATGTGAAGGCTCTGGTGGGAGAGGAGGGTACAGCTGAGGAACTAAAAGTGGTTTAGACTGGCTGGAGCTTGAAGTTGAAGTCAGAGAGGGAGGCAGAAGGGAAGCACCAGGCAGGTGAGGAAAAGCTCTGTGGACAAGAAAGGAGCGACTGAAAGTCTGCTAGCAGAGAAGCCACATGCTCAAAACCATATCAATGTTTAAATGTTGTTTAAATGCACTCAACCTTGACATCTCAGATAAGATACATTGCCCCAGTGCCCAGGTCTGCTTCAGATGTTCTTTCCAAGGCTCCTGCAGAAACCCACAAATGTCTCTATCATAATTCTCCTTCCATCATTCAAGTGCCCGCCTCCTCAGTGGCGGTGTAGACACTGGAACCTAAGAAAGCAGAAGTGAAGGGCAGAGACCACTTAGGAGCCACCAATCCAGGTGAGAGCATGAACTAATGAAGTGGGACTGATTGGGAAGAAAGCTGACCGGAGCTGCTGATGGAGGGGAGGATGTGAAGCGAGAGAGGATATTAGCAGAGACGGGGTTTCAGCATATTGGCCAGGCTGGTCTCGAACTCCTGATCTCAGGTGATCCACCCGCCTCAGCCTCCCAAAATGCTGGGATTATAGGCGTGAGCCACCTCACCCGGCTTATTATCATTGTTATTAAACACAGATAGTCTCCAAGTTACATGTATTTAGATAGCCATATAATTTATTGTCCAAACCAGGACATTTTTGAGAGTAGCAGGGACTGCTGTTAATAATCATGCTAGGTCAACAGTGTTTTTTTCTTTGTTTTGAGACAGGGTCTCAGGCTGGAGTGCAGTGGTGCGATCTCCACTCACTGCAACCTCCACCTCCCCAGGTTCAAGCAATCTTCCCACCTCAGCCTCTTGACTAGCTGGGACCATAGGCACACACCACCATGTGCAGCTGATTTTTGCATTTTTTTTTTTTTTTTTTGTAGAGATGAGGTTTCCCTATATTGCTCAGGCAGGTCTTAAACTCCTGGGCTCGAGTGATTCTCCTGCCTCAGCCTCCCAAAGTGCTGGGATTACAGGTGTGAGGCACCATGCCTGTCTCAGAACAATGGTTTTAAACCGGAATGATTCTCCGTCAGACCTGGACGGATGCTCAGGCTGCATTTATTTGACTTGCACACATTCGGCCTAATCAAGTCAACGTTGTGAAATGATCTTTTGTTTCCCAGTCCTCAGTGCTCCAATCTGACTTCGCCCTCCAATTACCACCGCTGCACCCCACCCAGGCTTCCTATCCCCTGTAGAATAAAAGTGCTAAGTTCCTTGACTGACCCTTGGTGCTTGCTACAACCTGGCACCATGTTGCTGACGGCAGCCTCAGTGTGTCACAGATGACAGTTTCGCTCATGAACCTGTTTAAGTTTCTCCTGTTGTCCCCTCTGTCCTGGACGCCCTCCCACCCTTTTACTTTGGTCAGTATCCCGCGCATCTTTCAATACCAACTCAGAAATCATCTCTTTGGAGAACTTCCCCATCTCCTGCCCTCTGACTGCCCTGCCTCAGCCTTAATTTCTGTCTCAACACTCTGCTAGGGCTTTGTTTTACTTTTATAACCCTTATATGTTGCTACTTCCTTACATACAGGCTCCTCACCAAATCATAAATCTTCTTACCTATCATAGACATAATTTTCCACTTACTGTTTTAGGGGTTTTGTTTTTGTTTGAAGATCATTGATGATAGAGAGACTAGAGAGAAATCAGGAATTCATGGCTCTGCTTCTGTTATCGCCGTGTTACTGTGTCTGCCACAAAGAGCAGACCCTGTGCTTCCACGTGCTTCTGACTCTGAACGCAGCCAAAGTGGTTTTAGCCAAAAGTGGTTTTCCACGTGCTTCTGACTGAACGTAGCTGAAAGTTGTCCTTCACAACTGTTTTGCAAGCCTCGCTGTTTTTGGGTTTCTAACTTCCTTATGTTTTCATAGATTTATGCTTGTCTTCAAATTTGTCATGAATTACGTGTCTGTTTCTAACTAAATATTAGTTATAATTATAAGCCATCTCCTTAAAAGAACACTGGTGGTTTTCCACACTGGAGAGCTGTCAGCCTTTCCTTTTTCCTCTTGAATAGGATAGTTGATGAATGCCCCATGAGAGGCTGAGAGACCCTTTTTGGAGCTGCCTGTCCCATATTGTTGTCCGTGCCCTGAGACTCAAACTATCTTTCTTTGATCACATTGAAATCTACTTTTTAAAAAGTGGAAGATGTTTGTCTCACTGTTTCTGGTATATGCACCATTTCCAAGGTCAAGTCACTTCGTTCCAAGGTTTCAGTCACATCCATTTCACTGCACATGGTTCTTCCTTGCTCCCGAGAGGCAAGGCTAGGCAGCAATGATCGGGGCTTCCTTAACTCTCTTAGCAAGGCAAGTCAATTCTCCTTTTAGAGGCTGGGCGCAGTGGCTCATGCCTGTAATCTCAGCACTTTGGGAGGCTGAGGTGGGCAGATTACCTGAGGTCAGGAGTTGGAGACCAGCCTGGCCAACATTGTGAAACCCTGTCTCTACCAAAAATACAAAAATAAGCCGAGTGTGGTGGCAGGTGCTGGTAATCCGAACCACTTGGAAGGCTGTGGCAGGAGAATCACTTGAACCCGGGCGGCGGAGGTTGCAGTGAGCTGAGATCACACCACTACACTCCAGCCTGGGCAGTAGAGTGAGACTCCGTCTCAAAAAAAAAAAAATTCTGCTTTTAGAAAATGATCAACTTTTAACAATAAGATTGCTGGCAGATATCTGTATAATAATAGATGCATTTGCAGAATTATCAACACAACCACTTTATAAAATAGTAGTTAATATTTTCATTTTATAGGAAAGAAAATAGAGGCTCAACAAAGTTCAGTAACTTGTTCACAGACAGGGGCCTGCGTAGTGAGGCTGGCTGTGAACCAGGTCTGCTGGACTCCACGGCCCTTTCCGCTATACTCAACAGTTTCCTGTTACGGTTGTTCAATCTCTCTTTCCCTTCTCACTCCTCTCCCCCTACGCTCAGCTCTTTTATGACTTAGCTGTATGATCCACATTAAGAACACATCAAGGCTGGCCATGGTGGCTGACACCTGTAATTCCACTTTGGGAGGCCAAGGCAGGTACATCACCTGAGGTCAGGAGTTCAAGATCAGCCTAACTAACAAGGTGAAACCCTGTTTCTACTAAAAATACAAAAATTAGCTGGGTATAGTGGGAGGCGCCGGTAGTCCCAGCTACTCAGGAGGCTGAGACAGGAGAATTGCTTGAACCCAGGAGGCGGAGGTTGCAGTGAGCTGAGATCATGCCACTGCACTCCAGCCTGGGTGACCAAGCAAGGCTCCGTCTCATCAAACAAACACACAAAAAAACAAAAAATGCATCACATAGGGAAGAAGTGTATTATATATTTACAAATTGTAGTCCTTGACGATGCTAATATTGTTAAAACAAAAAAACTTGATACAAAGTAAGTTTAACAGTTTATTTGAGCCAAGGATGACTGATGAATCGGGCAGCACTCACAACCAGAAGGGGTTTAGAGAACTGTACTCTGCAGAGTGAGCAGCAAGATTCTCTAGACCAAACACCCAAGAGAGGCAGAGGAATTAATTACCTGATGGGCTACAGCTAGGCATTTTGCCTTATTTGGGAATAATTCAGTGGTCAGAGGTTAGTGGTTTCTCATAGGTTCAGCCTAAGTTTTGTTTTACTGTTTATGTTGAATTGAGTTTTGGCCTGCTTATTTAGGGGCTCTGGTTCCAGTGACAACCTCAGGCTAATGGCCTCAGTATTTGCTTTAAAGATATATATTGGCAGGGCACTGTGGCTCACACCTGTAATCTTAGCACTT